GGGTTTAGGGGTTTTAGAGCTTAGGGTAATGTACGGTTTGCGCTCAATTCGTACCTCGCCAAACGTGGGGTATAACGTTGCTTCGAACAGCTGAATCTGAGACCTGGACCATGAGTCTTTGGAGCCTAGTGTTGTCGAGTGCACCGGTCGAGGCACGTAGCCGGAACCCGGGATCTTAAGCCCCAGCTAAAGTTGTCAAGTGGAGTGTTTATGGCTCGCAGTCTTTGTCCATGTATGGCAGGAGGCCAACGTCACTCAAGGCAGCGGCCGCCACAAACCCTGGTTCAGAGGTTGATGTTCAAGATTTCGTGAGTTTTGCGTCTGCCTCTCTGCAGGTGCTGCGGGCCTGAGAAAAAGCACCCCAAACTCCGTTCGTGCGGTTCAGCAGAAGCGATGCAACCCCGACGTGGAAAGCGTGTCGCCTCGGTTGTAATCATCAAATCGGGAGTTTGTTTTCTTGGCATGGCTGCTGAAAGTAAAGCGGCTGTGCCCCGGGCAAGTCCATGGAGTCCCGAAGCAAAAAAAAAGCCTGAAACTCCAAACAGGAGTTGATTAATTGAAAGAAGGAAAACCATTGCGACGGGTGCACGATGGACTTAGGGATTTCGGCTGTGGGGTACTGGGAGTTTGTTCCAAGCTCGCACACCCGAACCGCAGATCTGGCCTTGAGATTTGGGGCTTCAGGCTTCCTCGTGGTTTGGGGAGGGGGGGGCTGGCAAGTGGTGTGTCGAACTCTACGGTCTTTCGGAAGCACCAACATGCAGGCTTCGTGGGGTTTCAACTTGGGGCGGCTCAGCTTTTCGGGCTGACCGGTTTTGCTTTGAGCTTGGAAACCTTCTGGGCACCAGTGCGCGTTCATGAAATCAGAAAGCTTTAGGATGAAGCGTATTTGGCATGTCCCCACATCTGCAAAAAGGGCGTGGCAGGCATGAGAAGTCCTAGTTCTGTGAGCTGTCGCCTACACGATTCAGGAGGGCAGCATGAAGATTCTATCGCAATTTGTTTGGCAATGCTCGTCCAGATCAGTGCGAACTGCAAAGGATCGTCGTATATTAGCCAGCTTAAGTCCCAGACCGACACATTCCAGAGCAGGCATGCCGCCGCCTACGGTGAGCAGCAACGGTAAGACCATTGATGCCAGCGACTTCTCCGACGCCTTCTCCAAGTCTTTCCGCATCAAGTGCAAGGTGAAGTTTGACGACATGATCCTTTTCCGAGCAGTTCAGCAATAGTGGTCCCGAAGGGTTCCCGAGCATTTTTACTATAGGGTGCAGTGGGAATTCCTACAAAGACGTAGAAGTCCTATGCCACCTGGCACTCCGCCAACTTGTCAAAGCCCTCCGGTTTCCTGCAAAGCCCTAAAGCCGCCCAGCCCCTTAGACACAAGCCGAGGTTTCTGAGCCTCACACCGGTTTTCGAAAGAAGTATATTCATGCTAGCATACCATGAACCCAAAGGCTTGTTTCTGTTCTGAGAGTTAATTCCGTTTTTGGTGCCAGGTGGTTTCTCACCTCCAATCCCTCATGCGGATTGTCTTGCGAGACTGTTTCAGGACGGAGTGTAGTCCATTCTAGACTGACCGACTGCAATAGCCCCTAAACCCTTGCGAAGCCCCTGCCGGAAACCGATACGCCAGCTTGCGATGCTGCATGGAGTATCACTCTAGGACGCGAACTTCAGAAACCCTGGCAAGGGCCAAGTTCCAAATACTGTCCCATCAGTACTACTATCTATCCTAGAGCCATGTACCGAACTATTCGATACTTTGGACCCCTAGGAGAAACACCCTTCATAGCAGTTTGAGAAGATCGCCACTTTCAAGTAACTGTTTACATGAGGCCCTCAGGTTCCCAGTATACACATAGTACTTGCAAGTCTGTAGATATACCTGCCGCAACTTACCTGCTTGCTTGGAGTTCAGGGACTTCACGTCATGCGTGTAAGAATCTAAGCCTTCATTCGGAGCCTGCGCCGTATAAGTTAGAGCCCGCCAGCACACCTTCAGGAACGCCAACTACCCGAATATCTTCCATGGACTGACCGCTTCAGGCGGCGCTTTGAAAGATTCTTTGGGTGGGGGAGGTCCTTATATGTAAGTACGCGTCATTACTACCGTGAAACACCTCCTTATATGAAGGATCCTGCCATCATCTTTGACTTGACCATGTTTTCCAAACTCTAAGCGATTTGGGGCTAGGGGTTCTTGGTTGTGGGTCTGGGGTGCAGGTTTGGGGTGTGGCCGTGTAGGGCGTAGGGCTTGCATGGAGCTTTGCAAAATGCAGACTAGGTCCGGCAACTCAAAGCATCGCACATGGTATGCATGAATGACATTACAGTAATTACCGTGTCATGTTTGTGGGCAGCCACCTTTGTCTCCACGTGAACATGGGTATCTTGTCGCACGATGTGTACCCCGAATCTGCGAGGATTTGCTCGACCTGCGTCAGCAGTCGTGAAACATCGTCAAGTAAACCATTGTGGCATCTTGATTTCAATCTCCATGCCATGCACGGAGGGCTCCATGGCAGGCAACGTGTGCTATTGCTTCTGGTGAAACACCTTCGTCATAAGATGAATAGATTGTAACGATGCAGTCTGTTAACACGGAAGCTGGCTTGGTGTATACCAGATTGCTTACCTGTCGCTGTGTAGTCCTGTCGATGCGGTCTGCCGGGTCTCCTCACAACGAGACATCCGGCTAAATATGGCTGAACCGCAGAAGCTGTCCTTCGACGGCATAAGGCCCAAAGCCTGCAAAGGCCCTGAACCCAAGACTCACCGACTCTGTGTTCCCTGCAGAAGAAGCTGTGTTTCTAGCTGAAGTATCAAAACTACACCCTGAACTCAAACCTCTCAGAATGCGCCAAGCTTCCCCAAACACCTCATAATTCCCTGGAATCTGTACAGCAGCGTAAAACCCGCCTTGGTCAGGTGAAAAGGTATTCACTAGCCACGGTCTGGGTCCTGCGTACGGCGGCAAGAGAGGCAAAGCATGTTTGTACTCGCAGAGCCTTGGCTTGTGTGTAAGAGTGTAAGAGTAGGCTTCTAAAGGGGTTTTGGTGAGTGCATACAGGGTTGTAAGGGAAGAGTGGTGAGCGTACATGTTTTGGGAATGTATTTCTGCGGATACAGACCCTACTCCATGTAGAGCTTCAGGTTCACGTCAAGGTTGCGGGTTTTCGGCCGTGTGCTTCAGAAGGTCCGGCGAGTTAGGGCCCGGTGACGAACGTGTTTATGACTCTGAGTTGCAGTTACACCTTAATCATCAACCCTGATAGACTTTAACGCATCTTGGCTTTTGAAGTAACAAGCAAGGGGGTGAAGTTCGGATCTTGAGCAAGTTGGTCAAGGCTTCTACTGTTGGTGGGATTAGGATCTACGGTCCAAGGCTTGAGGGTTTTCGCCATCTCAACTCCTGAAAGACGTGGATTTGTCAGCCCATGAGTGCAAATGTCAATCGAGGCTGCATTTACGTTCCTCTGCACAGCATCCTCGTGCCACTGCCCTCATAAGGTAAACCCTCCAAAAGCCCTACAGTCATGGAAGCCACTCTTGAGGCAAGCCCGAAAAAATGGAACAGCAAGATCTCCGACTTATGCACATCCTTTCACAGCTTTGGCAAATCCCGTGAAAAAGGACCAGAATCAAGGGGTTTATGTTGGTAAATCCCTGGAAAACAGCCCAGAATCAAGGGGTTTATGTTGGTAAATCCCATGGAAGCAGCCCAGAATCAAGGGATTTGTATGGAGCTTGAGGACGAAGTCTGGTATGGGACCTCATGGCCGAGGCATTGATGCTCCTGGAGGCAAGTGGGTTCTGTAGGGCCTTTTTGGGGGTTTTTTGTCTGGGAGGAGCCGTTTTCAGGATTCAAGGGCTCGTCACAAGGGGTTTCAAAGGTTTATAACAAGTAGGAGTTTGTAGGTTTTGGGCTTTTCTGTTCATCTCGGGTTTACAATGTGAGGATCTGATAGGGATCTGCACAAAGTCAAATCCACATCCCCGAACCCCACACTCTAAAGCCCCTGCGGGTCGTCCCACACGGACCATCGGTAACGTGGATTCAAGGTGTTCTGCATGTTGCAAGATGCCCGCCGAACGAAAATTTACATTCCGGTCATAGAAATGCCCGTGCCTGACCATAACGAGCTTGCACGGGGAGGTTCCTTTTTTGGGGGATTTGCGATCTATAGCTCAAAGTCGTAAGTGAAAGTCTAGAAGTGCGCTCGAAGAAGCGCTTGAAAGCCTAGCAGGCCCAAACAGCCGGAACTGACCCGGCATGACGTAGCGTACGTTGATACTGGTTCCTAGTGTTTCAGTGGACTGCTTATAGGGTGTTTACATTAGTATTTAGGAGCTTGGCTGGTTTTTCTTTGTCCAGGTTGGATTGCGACCAGCAAGAGGCTGGATGATGGTAAGTGGCACGTCTTTGAGCTCGTGAAGACTGGGACCGACGTGTCTCGGGGTCTTACACACTGCCTGGAGTCTAGAACTGTTCAGACTTTCAGCTTGGGTTCTGGCTAAGGTGCTTCTTGTATGAGTGGTGTACGCTT